GAAGCAGATCTCAGGGGAGGTGGTATGCAGCCTTTGTTAGAATACTGCAGGGGCACCTGGGTGGCTCAGTTGGTTAAGCGTCTGACTTTGGCTCAGGTCATGATCTCACAGTTTGTGGGTTCGAGCCCTGTGTCAGGCTCTGCTGACAGCTAGCTCAGAGCCTGGAAGCCTGCTTCAGATTCTGTGTCTCCCTCTCTCTCTCTGACCCTTCCCTGCTCACTTGCTCTCTCTCTCAGAAATAAATAAAACATTTACAAAATTAAAAAAAAAAAGAATACTGCATTCCTCAGTGTCTTCTGAAGTTTTAAGAGTCTATTCCAGAGTTTACTCTACTAGGGGTTCTTGTATCCCATTCCTATACGAAAGAGCCTCAATGTTTGGAACTTCCCCCAATTTACTATGCTTTCTTGGAATCTTCACAGCCACTTAAAAGACCTCACCTATTCTCCACTCCTCACTTCACCTTCTCCCCAGTGGCCATTTTCACTTTTCCAGAGAGAAGAGGTGAAAGATAAGGAAACTATGTAATTCTCTTTTCTCTTGGAATATTTGTGCATATGGATGTATTAATTCTCAGGATTTTGTGAACCTAACAGTGAATTTTGATGGAATGGAGGCAGGATTGGAAGTCTTGACATACTGCAGACCATAATTTTCTATTTCTTTCCTTGACAGCACTTGTTGACATTTAAGACACTGAGTTGTGGCCCTTTGTTTGCTGTGGATGGAATTTTAACTTTCTTAAGGTATTGGCAGAAACAGAGTCTATGAGAAAGCTTTATTCCATTATCTAACCAAAAAGTACAATAATTTTTATTTCTTATTATTTAAAGTACAATAATTTTAATGTATATATACATTATATATTTTAATTATACTTTTGATATATGTATATTAATCTTAATTTTTCTGATTATAAAAGTTATGTATCTATAATATAAAATCATTATGTCGTACACTTTAAGCTAATATAGTGTTGTATGTCAATTATATCAATAAAACTGGGGGGGGAACAGGGGGAAAAATAAAATAAAAATTATTGGGGCACCTGGTTGGCTCAGTCAGTTATGCGTCTGACTTCAGCTCACGTCATGATTTTGCAGTTCAGGAGTTTGAGCCCTGTGTTGGGCTCTGTGCTGACAGCTCGGAGCCTAGAGCCCGCTTTAAATTCTCTGTCTCCCTCAGCAAAACTAAAAGGCAACCAATGGAATGGGAGAAGATATTTGCAAATGACATATCAAATAAAGGGTTAGTATCCAAAATCTATAAAGAACTTATCAAACTCAACACGTAAAAAACAAATAATCCAGGGAAGAAACGGGCAAAAGACATGAATAGACACTTCTCCAAAGAAGACATCCAGATGGCAGACAGACATGTGAAAATATGCTCAACATCACTCATCATCAGGGAAATACAAATCAAAACCACAGTGAGATGCCACCTCACACATGTCAGAATGGCTAACATTAACAACTCAGGCAACAACAGATTTTGGTGAAGATGCCGAGAAAGAGGATCTCTTTTGCACTGCTGGTGGGAATGCAAACTGGTGCAGCCACTTTGGAAAACAGTACAGAGTTTCCTCAAAAAATTAAAAAGAAAACTACCCTACGACCCAGCAATTGCACTGCTTTAGGTATTTATGCTAGGGATATAGGTGTGCTGTTTCAAAAGGGCACATGCACCCCAATGTTTACAGCAGCACTATCGACAATAGCCAAAGTATGGAAAGAGCCCAAATGTCCATCGATGGATGAATGGATAAAGAAGATGTGGTACGGGGCACCTGGGTGGCTCAGTTGCTTAAGTGTCCAACCTCGCCCAGACCATGATCTCAGACTTGTGGGTTCAAGCCCTGCATCGGGCTCTGTGCTGTCAGTACAGAGCCTGGAGCCTGCTTCAGATTCCGTTTCCCTCTCTCTCTGCCTCTCCCTTGCTGTCTCCCTCTCAAAAATAAACATTAAACAAAAAATTTTTTTAAAACGATGTGGTATATATGTGTGTGTGTGTGTGTGTGTATACAATGGAGTATTACTCAGTAGGCAAAATGAATGAAATCTTACCATTTGCAATTACGTGGATGGAACTGGAGGGTGTTATGCTAAGCAAAATTCGTCTGTCAGAGAAAGAGAAATATCCTATGACTTCACTCATATGAGGAATTTAAGATATAAAACAACTGAACATAGGGGAAGGGAAGCAAAAATAATATAAAAACAAGGATGGGACAAAACATAAGAGGCTCTCAAATACAGAGAACAGAGGGTTGCTGGAGGGGTTGTGGGGGGGGCGGATGGGTTCACTGGGTAAGGGGCATTAAGGAATCTACTCCTGAAATCATTGTTGCACTATATGCTAACTAACTTGGATGTAAGTTTAAAAAATAAATAAATACATTTTTAAAAAATAAATAAATAAATTCTATCTCCCCCTGTCTCTGCCCCCCGACACTCTGTTTTTCTCCCCAAAATACATAACCATTAAAAAAATTTTTTAAAGTTATCTAGCTTTGCTGTATGAATTCAAACCAAACAGAAGTATAAAAAGTAGAAGTAAAAAGTATAAAAAGCAGCTCATATACTAAAATTGGCACAATCCAGAGATTAGCATGCCCCTGCGCGAGAATGACAAGGAAATTCATGAAGCGTTTAAAGAAAAAAGTAAAAAGTGAATAGTGAAAACTGCTTTCTTGTCAGTACTTAGCCATTCAGTGAAGATCAAAAATCCCATGAAAATCGAGAAATACATGAATACATAGATATTTTTTAAAAGACAGCTTTATTATGGTGCATTTTACATACTATAAAATTCATCCATTTCATGTGTACGATCCAGTGATTTTTGGTAAATACAGACCTCCATCATCACCACACATATATACTTTTTGCAAAATGACATAGTTACTTTATTGGTTCCTATTTAACTTATTCTCCCGATTCTAAAATGTTCTTACAGATGCCCACGGCATAGTAAACATGGCCAGGAAGCTACCTTTGGGAGTTTTTGGGTAGTTCTGTTCCTGCCAGTTGAGCTACCTGACTGCCAAATGTCAGCTGGGTTTATTCCATTTACTTATATCAGTAAAATTTGCTATTTAAAAAAATTTTTTTTAATGTTTTATTTATTTCTGAGAGAGAGATAGAGACAGCGTGAGCAGGGGAGGGTCAGAGAGAGAGGGAGTCATAGAATCTGAAACAGGCTCCAGGCTCTGAGCTGTCAGTACAGAGCCTGATGTGGGGCTGGAACTCACAAACGGTGAGATCATGACCTGAGCCAAAATCGAATGCTTAACTGACTGAGCCACCCAGGCGCCCCTAAAATTTGCTATTTTAACTAGATTTTTGAAAATTTATGATAGATGAGTGTCAAAAAAGATGTTTCTATGGAAACTAAGTTGAATGCTTTGGAAAGGCTTGTTGAAAGCAAATTGCTAAACACTTGTTAGATTAGGTATACATGAAAATTCTGTGCTTGGAAGAACTACACACATCTAGGAGAACTTTGCATTCAGATTGCTTCACAAGTGCCGTTTAGTTATTGCTCCACTTTATATTTTTAAAAAATTTTTAATGTTTTATTTATTTGTGTGTGTGTGAAAGAGAGAGAGAGAGAGAGAGAGACAGCGTGACCACAGAGAGTCAGAGAGAGGGGGAGACACAGAATCTGAAACAGGCTCCAGGATCTGAGCTAGCTGTCAGCACAGAGCCCGACGTGGGGCTCGAACCCACGAACTGTGAGATCATGACCTGGGCCAAAGTCGGACGTTTAACTGACTGAGCCAACCAGGCGCCCCCATTGCTCCACTTTAAAGAAACATTTAAATTACGGTGACTTGTGAAAAGCAAGAAGTACTATCACTCTAAGAAGCCCTATCACCAGGGGCCCCATAATCACAGAAAAAGCCTGAGGCTATCTCAAAAGATTAATGAAGCAATTTACATTTATTAAGTCTTAAGTTTAAACAAAACAGAGTGGGTTCTCATATACCACAAACTTACTTTTCTTAAAATAAACAAAACTGTGTACTGTTTTAAGATTCTGCATTTTAATTGACTTTTTCACTACCAACTAACCACCAGGCCCAACAGCATCAGATAACAGGGCTTCCGGTGGGGATGCAACCAGCTTTTCCTTTACAATATATTGAAACATTTTTCACATAGTTATATATCAATTTACCGTATCTTTTATAAAACTCGCCTCACAATACTCCATTGTGTAGGCGACACATCCTAATTTACTTACCAAATTCTCTATTCATAACTATTTCGGTGATTCTCTGAAAAAATATTTTAAGCAGGGATTAAGATAATGAATGTGGCAATAGTACATAAAGTGGATTGAAGAAGGCGGGATGGAAAAGGGAGACATGAATGAAAGGCTCCTGAAACCATCCAGCTCTGAGAAAAACCAGCAAGCGGCAGTGGTTCACACACCCAACACGTGTTCTTGTCAGTCTGGGGGCCCTATTTCTAAAAAAATCACACCATTCTTTTCCACGTCTGTATTTTAGCTCATTCCAGTCTTCCTGCGTTTCATCTTTGCCCGTTGAAATCCTATTTTTCCTTCAAGATCCAGGCCAAATACCACACCCCGCCATGATGAGTCCTGGCTGGAAACGATCCCTCGCCTTCCATTTCACGGGCGAGAACCGAATCCCCCCTTCCTTCCCTCCACAAAGCATTTTTCTCCCAAAGGCAGTACGGTTCAGTGACTGAGTAACAACTGTGGACCCGCCAAGTTGCTGTCTCGGGGAGCCATGCGCCTGACCCAAATTCTCGGTGCCTCAGTGTCCAGACCCGTAAAATGGGGAGAAGCGTACTCAGGGTTAGGAGGATTAAATGTGCTAACAGGGATAAGGCGCTTAGAAGAAGGTCGGCTGTGCAGACGGCGTTGAACAAGCCGGGGCATTCATTTTGATTGATGGGGGTGGGCGGGGTGGAGCGCGCGGGCCGCTCCCGCAGGCGCCGGGTCCGGGCCGGCGGAGAGCGGTCACATGATCGGGCCAAGATGGCGTCGCCCAGCTGTTTGTGGCTCCTGGCCGTCGCTCTCCTGCCGGGGTCTTGCGCCGCACCCGCGCCGGGCCATCTCGACCCGCCGGCGCCGCTGCCGCTGGTGATCTGGCATGGAATGGGTGAGTGAGGGGGAAGAGAATCCGAAGGGTTTGGCGACGCCTTCCCTCTCCCAACCTGGGTTCGCATCTGCAAGTGTGCGTGTGGAGGGCGAGGACCGTGGTCGCACGGCACCCGGCTGGCCCGACGTCCTGGGATCTGGGGGGCTACTCTGCGTTGGAAAGGGGGAGAGGAGAAGGGGTAGCTTCCGGTGAGCTCCGACAGAGAGCTGTGGCCGCGTTAGGCTGTTTTGTGCTGTTCTTGTTTAATCCCCGCGGCGGTGGCGGCGGGGTGCAGCGTCTGGCACTTGGTCGGGCAATCCGAGCTGTGGCTGCAGGACCAGGGCATCCATCCTTTTATTCATTCACACTCTGAGGAGAGATTTGTTAGGTCCCTATGGTTCGTTTTCACATGTCACACACACGTAGTTATTAAGCATCCATTTGATGCTGAAGATACGGCAGTGAACTAAACAGACCAAAGCCTTTGCCCTTTCGGAACTTACTTTCCAGAGGGGAGAGACAGGCTATAAAGAAATAAGTAAGACATAGAATAGGTTTTGAATAAAATGGTGATAAATGCGATGGAGAGAAATAAAGTAGGGAGTGGGATAGAAACGGGAAATGGAGGCTTGCAGTTTTATAAGCAGGGTCAGGAAAGGTTTCTCCCACAAAGTGACATCTGTGCAAAGACCTGAAGTGGATGAGGAAGGACTCCATGTGGATAGCTGGTAGAAGGAACAGCAAGTGCAAAGGCCCTGAGGCAGAAGTGTGTTTGTTATGTTAGAGAAACAACATTCAGGTCAGTGGGGCTGGAGCTGAGTGAGCAAGGAGGAGAAAATAGGGGCGTGGGGTGGGGTGGGGTGGGGATGCTGGGGCCTGCAAAGGGAGTTGGCTAGAATGAGTTGGAAAGCCCTTGATGGGTTTGAGCACATGAATGACACAATATGACTGACATTTTTAAAGGACCACTCTAGTTGCTTTATTAAGAATAGGTTGTAGGGGGTTACAGACATTTGCAGGGAGACAAGTTAGGAAGCTTTGCAACAATTTAAATGAGAGATGATGGTGTCATGAAACACTACAGTAATAGGGGAGGTAGTGGTCAAAGTTTGGCTGTCTTCTGAAGGTGGAACCCATGGGATTTGTTAACGGATTAGATTCGGGATGAGCAAGAAAGGAAGGAGTCGGGGATGATTCCACGGGTTTAGGGCTGAACAAGGTGAAGGATGAAGTCATTTTACGCAAATGGGGAAATCTGTACTGGGAGCAAATTTGGGATATGGAGATCAGTACTCTGCTTTTGGACTTAATAGATTTGAGATGCTTGTTAGACATCCAGATGTTGTAGAGTCGTTTGGAGTGTGGAGTCTAGGACAGAAATACAAGTTGAAGATTTATGTTGGGAGCCTTCAGTGTATGCCTGGCGTTTAAAGCCATGACAGTGGGCAGGACCATGGGAGCGAGCGTACACAGAAGAGAGAAGAGGTCTAAAGATTGGCACTTGAGGCACTGCCAACATTTGGAGGTTGCAGAGATGAGGAGGAACTACCTAAGGAGACAGTGATGGTGGAGAAAAGTCAGAAGACTGCAATGTCCGGGAAGTCTAGTGAAAATGTTTCAAGAGGAAGGAAGTAATCAGCTGTATGGAATTTTATCGACAGGGCAAGTGAGAACTGCTTATTGGATTTAGCAATTTGAAGATCACTTAATAACCTTAACAAAAGCAGTTTTGGGGGTGCCTGGGCGGCTCAGTTGGTTGAGCATCCAACTTGTGAGTTCGGCTCAGGTTATGATCTCACAGTCGTGAGATCAAGCCCTGTCTTGGGCTCCGCGCTGGGCATGGAACCTGCTTAAGAGTCTCTCTCTCTCTCTCTCTCTCTCTCTCTCTCCCTCTCCCTCTGCCCCTCTCTCTTGCTTACTTTTTCTCTTTCTGTAAAAAAAAATAAAAATAAATAAATGAAATCGTTAAAAAATAAAACTTCTAAGAGGAATTACAATAAATGAAATTTTTAAAAACAATAAAACTTTGAAGAGGAATTACAGTCAGCAAATGTAAACAGTTTACTCAAAGCTCTCTGCTGGGTTCCGGAGCTACTGCAGTGGAGTTAAAAGAAGTTATTATGAGAGAAATAGAAGATGCTTTAGGCTCTAGCTTTTCCTTCTTTAAAAAGGAATTCTTAAGCTGTGCCTTAAGTTAGAAATGGGATGATTACACTCAAAATGCAAAACGACCTCAGCCTACTTCTCCAATTGAGCAGCCAGTGACTTTTCTTCTAGTTTTAGTTTTGGTTCTTAGAAATAGGAAAAAAAACAGGGCTCGGAGGAGGATGAGGCAAGGAGGCCCCGACATTGCAAAAGTTAAGAAGGCACTCACTTTCTAGCTCGTAGAAGTTCAGGGTCAGCACTTGCATGAACTTGTGAGTGAGTGCCCTCCGAAATTTTGTGTCCTAGGTGCTTTACTTTTCCTTCCCTAGTCCTTGAGTTTGATTCTTAAGTGCTTTTGAGTCTACTAACCCCAAATATTCCAAATGAGAAGACAGGGTAATATGTACCTCTGCTTACTTGTCAGTTGTGAATTTCGTGTCCCAATTGTATTGTATGGGCTTTTGAAGTTTTTATTATTTGATAAAACATGAGCCAAGCAAAAAAATGTGGTTTTTTTGAGGTGAAATTCATATAACATGCAATTAACCATACTAAAGTAAGCAGTTCAGTGGCACTTAGTGTATTCATAATATTGTTTAACCAGCGCTCCTCTCTAGTTTCAAATTTTTTCATCATCCCAGAAAACACTGTACCCCTTAAGTAATCACTCTTCCCTGCTCCCACCACTTCCTAGAAATGTCCAATCTGTTTTCTGTCTTTATAGATTTGCTGGTTCTAGATATATCGCATATAAAAGGAATCAAGCATTATGTGACCTTTTGTGTTTAGCTTTTTTCTCTTATATTAATGTGAATTTAGCGTGAATTTAATGTGAATAATGTGAATTTAGGTTCATCCACATTATAACATATGTACATATGCAAGTAGGAGGTGTCAGTATTTCTTTTTTTATGGCTGAGTAATATTCCACCGTATGTATACACCACAGTTTGTTTACCCATTCATCCATTGATGGACATTTGGGTCACTTCCACCTTTAAACTATTATGAATAGGGCTGCTATAAACATTGATGTACATGGACATGTTTTAATTTCTCTTGGGTAGCTATCTAGAAGTGAAATTGCTGCATCATATGGTAATTGTCAGGGTTAACTTTTTGAGGAACCACCAAACTTTTCACAGTGGCTACATCATATCGCATTTCCATCAGCAGTGTACAAGGGTTCCTATTTCTCCACATCCTGGCTTGCTCCTTTCCAATTTTTTTTTTTTTATTAAAGCCATCCTAGTGGGTATGAGGTGGTATCTCCTTATTGTTTTGATTTGCATTTCCTTTTTTTTTTTTTTTAATTTTTTTTTTAATGTTTTATTTTTATTTCTAGGAGGGAGAGAGAGACAGACAGCGCGAGCAGGGGAGGGTCAGAGAGAGAGGGAGTCACAGACTGAAACAGGCTCCAGGCTCTGAGCTGGCAGTCAGCACAGAGCCCGACGCGGGGCTCGAACCCACGAACCGCGAGATCATGACCCAAGCGAAAGTCGGACGCCTAACCGACTAAGCCACCCAGGCGCCCCTTGCATTTCCTTTTTTAAATTAATTATTTCGTTTAGCGTTTATTTTTTTGAGAGAGAGAGAGAGAGAGAGAGAGAGAGAAAGAAAGAAAGAAAGAAAGAGGGGCAGAGAGAGGAAGACAGAGGATCAGAAGCCAGCTCTGCGCAGACAACAGGGAGCCTGATGTGGGGCCCCAAGCTCATGACCTGAGCTAACATCGGACCTGAGCCAAAGCCAGATGCTCAACTGACTAAGCTGCCCAGGCGCCTTGATTTGCAGCTCCTTAATGACCAGTGATGTTGAACATGTTTTCATATACTTGTTGGTCATCTGTATATCTCCTTTGGAAATGTCTGTTCAAGTCCTTTATCCATTTTAAACTAGATTAACTTCCTGGGTTGTAAGAGTTCTTCCTATATCCTGGGTATTAAACCCTTATCAGATATCTGTTTTGCAAATATTTTCACCCTTTCTATTTTTTGTTTCCTTTTTGCAAATATCTTCTCCCATTCTGTACATTTCACATTCTTGATAATGCCCTTTGAAGCTTAAAACTTTTGAAAACATTTATAAACTCTAATTTTGGTTCATGAGTATCTGCCCTTGTGTTTGTTGTCTAGGAGACAGCTGCTGTAATCCCTTAAGCATGGGTGCTATTAAAAAAATGGTTGAGAAGAAAATACCTGGAATTTATGTCTTGTCTTTAGAGATTGGAAAGACCCTGATGGAGGTAAGGCCCTTTACCTTTGAAGGTTTGCTGACTGATTTCAGAGAATGTACTATTAAAACGCTTTGTCTTGCATTTTTAGCAGCAAATCTCACAATGGTACTTTAACTCTTGAGTGGCTTATGGGAGGATTCCAACTAAACAGATTTGCCTTCTTAGAGAAGATGCCAGTGGTGGTTCTCATCCCCATCCTTTCTCTGTGGCTCCTCTTCTAGGATGTGGAGAACAGCTTCTTCTTGAATGTCAATTCCCAAGTGACAACAGTGTGTCAGATTCTTGCTAAGGACCCTAAATTACAGCGAGGCTACAACGCCATGGGCTTCTCCCAGGGAGGCCAATTTCTGTAAGTCCCGTTCTGTGATGTCATACCACTTACATGGGATTGATTCTTTTTTTAATGTTTTATTTATTTTTGAGAGAGAGAGAGAGAAAGAGACAGCATGAGCAGGGGAGGGTCAGAGAGGGAGCGAGATACAGAATCTGAAGACAGACTCCAGGCTCAGAGCTAGCTGTCAGCACAGAGCCCGAGGCGGAGCTCAAACCCACGAACCGTGAAATCATGACCTGAGCCAAAGTCGGACACCCAACTGACTGAGCCACCCAGGTGCTCCAGTTTTTTTTTTTTCCTTTTATTCAGATAGATCCATTCCTCTGATTCTTTTGAGCTCTTTGTCTCCCTTGGAAGGAAAGCTATTCTAAGATGTCTTCATGTAAAAAGCTTTATGGAACTTAATTTATTCTGTGAAAGAACAAAGATTTGTGTTCGGCCATCTGGGGGAAATCCGGACCCTCCCTGGCTTTGGGGAATCACAGAGAATGAAGTCGCTTTATCTGGGAAGTTGGTTGTTGATGATACATTTCACTCTGACAGTCGGAGCTGATAATCTTTGTCTTCTGCAGGAGGGCTGTGGCCCAGAGATGCCCGTCACCACCCATGATCAATCTGATCTCCATTGGGGGACAACATCAAGGTAACCTTGGCCTCTTTGCCTCCTTTTTTCTCTTTTCTAATGCACATGACCACTTGATTTTATTTATGTTTTTTTTTTTACTTTAAAAGTTTATTTATTTTGAGAGAGAGAGAGCATGCACTCCCGCAAGCCCACGTGTGCATGAGTTGGGGAGGGACAGAGAGAGACGGTGAGAGAGAATCCCAAGCAGGCTCTGTCTTGTCAGCACAGAGCCCAACGTGGGGAGCGTCAGGAGGAAGGATGCTCTACGTTATTTTCTTTTTTAAGTGTTTATTTATTTTTGAGAGAGAGAGGAAGAGAGCAGGCAGGGGAGGGGCAGAGAGAGAGGGGAACAGAGGATCCAAAGTGGGCTCTGTGCTGACAGCAGAGAGCCTGACGCGGGGCTGGAACCCACGAACCGTGAGACCGTGACCTGAGCTGAAGTCAGACACTTAACCGACTGAGCCACCCGGGCGCCCCTCAATACGTATTTTCTTGAGGAATAACTACGAGAGGAGAGGCTAGCGCAGGTCTCTTTTATTCCTCACAGTGCCTTGTACATAGTAGGTATTCAGTACACAATTCTGGAAAGAATGGACATGTGGCTTCTGCTGTTGTAGGTGTTTATGGACTCCCTCGGTGCCCAGGGGAGAGCTCTCACATCTGTGACTTCATCAGAAAAACACTGAATGCTGGGGCTTACAACAAAGCTGTTCAAGAACGGTATGTAAGGTTGGCTGAAAAAGATACAGAACTGTCCTTGCACAAAAGTATCATGCTGGCTTTCATGCTAACGGTCATTCCAGGAGCAGTGGCCAGTGACGCTCAAATGAGAGGCTTTTTATAAATATCTCTGTGCTTTCTATTCAGTTATATTGTAGAGCTAAAACTGCTTTAATATTAATTTTAAAAAGAAAGGGTATCCTTTTAATATATATAAAGTTTAGAGTATTTATTTTGAAAGAGAGAGAGAAAGCACGGGGGCAGAGAGAGAGAGAGAGAGAGAGAGAGAATCCCAAGCAGGCTCTGCACCATCAGTGTAGAGCCCAACACAGGGATCAAACTCAGGAACCGTGAGAACATGACCTGAGCTGAAATCAAGAGTCAGGCGCTTAACCGACTGAGCTGCCCAGGGTATTTTTTAGTGTATTCTTTTTAATATAGAAAGAATATAACAACAGAATAAATCTCCAGCTTTAAGAAACTAACAAACAAAAGAGCCTTTAAAACATACCAAGCCCAAGGAATTACCATATATATTTTGGAGGACAGATTCTTTTGTGGTCCGCAGCAAGAGGTGAGCCTCCTACGTCAGTGTTTCCAACTACTCAGATGTGTTTGGATATTTAAAAGTGTACAGAATCACTTTTGGAGTGTATTCTTTTCAGTTGTTTCCAAACTTAAATTATACATCAGAACTCCTGGGAAATTCATTAAAATGGGTCCTGGGGCTCCATTCCTGGGATCAGGGATTTGACTTGGATTTAGTCGGTGTGGAGTATTCTAAATGGTAACAGATTTGGCATCGACTAGTATGGCTCTGGTAGCTATCCTACAGGTTTTCAAAGCAAATCATTCTTGTCTAATACCAGTTCTTCAGTGCAACCCTTCCTTGAAGCCGTTTTCCAAGGTTCAGCCTTGCCAGTGACTCACATCTGGAAACAACCTACCACTAGCTCTCTTCCCTTCCTACCCTTTGGCTACATGCTTAGCCACAGGGCTGTGTTGGGTCAGTAGTGCCACCTGATGGTCAGTGAAGGAAACTAAGATACTTTTTTTTTTTTTTAAGATCTTATTTTTTTTAAGTACACCCCACGTGGGGCTCTAACTCATGACCCTGAGATCAAGAGTCACATGGTCTACCGACTGAGCCAGTCAGGTGCCCTGAAACTAAGATACTTCTGTGTCTCCACCCCAGGCCCTTTAGGCATCTCAAACCTCTGCTAAATTTTACCCCTAATTCTGCTTGGACTATTCAGGGAGACAGTCACACGTAACTGATTAAAAGTGGTAGATTGATGTGTTTGTCTTCACTTCCTCCTTATGCTGGAATAATGATCAACTGGTAGCAAAAGAACGAAAAGTAATAAACCCATTAGGGCAGATAGAACAGGAGAGAGGAGACAATAAAAGATGTCAACACGTTTTTGAAAGACAGAAAGCAGATGAATGAGTGATAATTGTTTCAGCAGAAAAAGCTGAGACCTTCTATCCCTATAGAAGGATGCGTGACAAAAAGGGAGCAGATTCACTTTTTAGAGCTCCAGAAAGGGTCAGGAATTAGACGCATAAGATCCTTTGGAAGGTAGAGATAAGTGCCTGGGGCTAAAAACAGGACTTTTCGTTGGGGAAAAATTTTCCTATATAAGGAATGATCAAACTGCCGGTTCCTGTAAGTGCACATCCAGCTGATTGCTCCTCCCCCATTGTGACAAAAAAAGCAAAATTTATTCCCTGGAGCAATTTACCTAGAGAAGTACCAGCCTCTGAGACAGCAGGCACAGGATGGTGGTGCGACACTACGTGGCAAACCCACGCCTTCGCCCTTCCCTCCCACTCAGCTCCCAGAATGGTAGCAACTAGGCTTATGAGCTGCGAGGCTGATGTTTGGCAGACCTGTCTCTGGAAAACCTGACTGGCCCCAGAGAAAAGATCTGCAGGCTGATGTTTTGGGATCCTCCAAGACATCGGGATTCCTCTTGACTCCCCTGAGGTGAAGCCAGCGGGAGTTAAGGTCTGTTCTCACATGAGGAGCCTCCAGCCAGCTTTGTGGTGTCTCGTTTCGGTATAAACCATGAGTCCGGACCCCCAGTCCGACATCTGAGGAAAGCTTCTAATGTGAGAGACAGAACAAAACCAACAAAAAGTATAAAAAGCAACTTAGAAGGAAATGATGGCAGTTCAAGGAGCCAAAGAAAACCTTAAAAAAAACAAAAAGCCTATAATTATTATCTTTGGAGATAAAGAGTTATAATCCAGGGCACCAGAAAAGAATGTGAATAAAACCACCAAGCAGAGAGTAAAAGAGAGCTCCTGGGAATTAAAAATTAAGACAACAACCACCACAAAAATGTGTGAGCAATATGGGAATATAAACTTGAGGAAATCTCCTAGAAATTAGAACGAAAACTCAGAGGTTAAAAAAAACTGACAAAATGAAAGAAATTTAGCTGTTTGGAAGTCCAGTTTCTGACTAATAGGAGTTCTGAAAATCGCCCAGAGGAAAAGGGTGGATTGGAATTCTCAAAGAAGCAATTCGAGAAAATTTCTTAGGTCGACAGGACGTGATTTTCCAGATAGAAAAGGCTCACTAAGTGGTTAGGGCAAGGAATGAAAAAAGACTCACATTGAGGTACACTCCTGTGAAATTTCAGAGCCCCAGGATAAAGAGTAGACCCCAGGGAGGCTGCCCACAGAATCCGTCCTATTGACCGCCACTCCTAGCACTGCTAGCTAGAAGGTGGTGCGGTACCTTTGAGCGCTTATTCATTCATTCATTCATTCATTCATTCATTCATTCATATATTTATTTATTTTGAGGGGGTGGGGAGGGGCAGAGAAAGGGGGAGAAAGAGAATCCCAAGCAGGCTCTGAGCTGTCAGCGCAGAGCCCAGTGCGGGGCTCAAACTCACAATTTGTGAGATCATAACCTGAGCTAAAGTCAGATGTTTAACCGACTGAGCCACCCAGGTGCCCCGGTACTTTTGTGTTCTTTTTTTTTCCTTTTAATATTTAAAGTTTGTTTGTTTGTTTGTTTTTTTATTTATTTAGAGAGAGGGAGTGAACACAAGCAGGGGAGGGGCAGAGACAGAATCCCAAGCAGGCTCTACGGCATCTGCACAGAGCCTGATGTGGGGCTCGAACTCACAAACTGTGAGATCATGATCTGAGCCGAGATTAGGAGTCAGATGCTTAACCAACTGTGCCACCCAATACCTTTGTGTTCTAAGAGAAAGTGATTTCCATCCTTCAATTCTATGCCAAACCTTCAAGTAGCACCCAGATGTGAAGGGAAAATAAAGACCTCTTCAGACATGGAAGAAAAAAGAAGAATGACCCTCTTTCCAGGCAGCTGTTGGGAGAGACTCAGGTTTTTTTTTTATTTTATTAAAAATATTTTTTTATTATAGTTTATTGTCAAGTTGGTTTCCATATAACACCCAGTGCTCATCCCAACAAGTGCCCTCCTCCATGCCCATCACCCCCCTTCCCCTCTCCCCCAGCCCCATCAGCCCTCAGGTTGTTCTCAGCATTCAAGAGTCTCTCATGGTTTGCCTCCCTCCCTCTCCCCCCACTATTTTTCCCCTTCTCTATGGTCCTCTTAAGTTTCTCCTGTTGCACATATGAGTGAAAACATATGGTAGCTGTCCCCCTCTGCCTGACTTATTTCGCTCAGCATAACACCCTCGAGTTCCATCCATGTTGCTACACATGGCCAGATTCCATTCTTTCTCATTGCCATGTAGTATTCCACTGTATAGATAAACCACATCTTCTTGATCCATTCGTCCGTTGATAGACACTTAGGCTCTTTCCATGTTTTAGCTATTGTGGAGAGTGCTGCTGTGAACATTGGGGTACATGTGCCCCTATGCATCAGCATTTCTGTATCCCTTGGGTAAATTCCTAGCAGTGCCATTGCTGGGTCATAGGGGAGTTCTATTGTTAGTTTCCTGAGGAACCTCCACACTGTTTTCCAGAGGGGCTGCACCAGTTTACATTCCCACCAGCAGTGTAGGAGGGTGCCCGTTTCTCCACATCCTCGCCAGCATCTAGAGTCTCCTGATTTGTTCACTTTCGCCACTCTGATCAGCATTAGCTGGTATCTCAGTGTGGTTTTGATTTGTATTTCCCTGATGATGGGGAGAGGCTCAGGTCTACACTGTCCAGCTGCACGGCCTGGTATGTCTTTGAGCCTCCTCCTCAGCACGGGGTACATAGTAGTACTTTCCTGCACAGAAATTCAGTGCAGCGCTCAGTTCCTACCAAGTAGGCAGGTTTGGGCTGTCCCCACTAGTGGTGCCGTGTTTAAAATATTTATTCAGCTTGAGCTTCCTGTTTCCTTTATTTATAAGTATTGCAATGGTTTTGTTTTAGTTGCAGGCATAAAGCATTTCATACACTGCGGTTTGCCAGGCCCTCTGGTCGGTCCGGCAGAGAAAAGGGAGAATAAGACAGTGAGGGTCTCTGCTCTCATGCAGTAACCTGCTGGTGGGGATAGGGAGGCTCCCAGTGGACAGAGGCCCTGGGCGCCCCCAAGCAGCCCTAAGGCCGTGGTGGAAAGAAACAGGATGCAGTGGTCGAGAGTAGAGGAGGAGGTATCTGCTCCGGACAAAATGGTCTTTGGAGAATAGGTGCTTAGGCTGGGATCTGAAGGATGAAAAGGAACATAGGAGAAGCTAAGGGGAGAGGGATGAGCAGAGGGAACAGTGAGCACAGAGACCTGATCCTGGAACACCTTTGGCTTGTTCTAGGCCCTGGCGGCAAGGTTAGCCATAGATGGGGGAGTTGGCAAGGGCTGCACCAGCAAGGGCGTGCAGGACACATTGGCAGTTTGAGTTTCCTTCGAAACATCACGAGAAACTACTGGGAGGTTTTAAGCAAGGGAATAACACGGCCCAATACGTGTTTTTGGAAGGTCTCCACTGCTTTGTAGAGAGCAAGTTGGAAAGCAGAGGAAAAGCAGGGGGCTGTTGCAGTGTCCTGGTTAAGAGGTGACGGTG